TGTGAGAATATAAAGGCAAGACTTTGTAAAGAAGAGTATAATTGGGATTACCAGTTTACTGAAGAAGCACGTAAAGTGATTTCTAAAATATTTTGCCCGGAGGCGATTGCATTAACCAATGATCATTCTTGTAGCTTATCGTGGAAGATAGCAAAATGGATCAATTCTCGATTTATTTTACCAGAAAACGTTCAATCCCATATGCAATGTCAAGCAACGGGAATATTTCGAACATAGATGGGTTGATTCTTGAAGCTTCTCGCTTCGTTGAACTACAATCGATTGATGCTGGAAAATGCAACATGATCAATTACGAATTCTTAGGAAAGTTAACTCTTAAGATAGGAAAAGTATTCAATAACGAAATAACAATAAGAAGATTGAGAATCCTCTGAATACAATGATCAATTCACGAGAATCGATCGAGAAAGGAAGAGAAGCTGATGCTATGAGATGAGCTGATATCGCAATTGAAGCATCTTAATGTTTCTTCCTGGACCAAGAATGGGGAAATGGCTTTCATGGGCTTTCTAGGATTTGCACATCAAGATGCATCAGTCGAGCTTGGCAATCAGGTGGGTATTTAACTGAAGAACCATCTTTTCTTGAAATGGAGAGCCCTTGAGCATTTGCAGTAGCTGATGCTTGTGAAGAATTGTTCGATTATTATCAAGCTACTAAGAAGAAATCTGATATTGGCAATGTGTTTAAAGAAATAGAAAATATTAAGGAAATAAGATCATTTAAAAAAAGAGCTCAACGAAACCAAAATTACCCTCGGAAAGACAATAGAAACAGTGAAAGAACAAAAAAGAGTAATATGCGAACTGAATGATAAGCTTTCATTCACTGATTAGCATGGAACTTCTAGAACCACAGAGCAGCCCGGACAATGTGGTGCAAGAAACATTGCGAGAAGTGATTAATACTAGCCAAGTGGATGTTGAAGCATGTTCGGCTGTTGAAAAAGGATCTAGAATCAAACGCTTTGAACATCAACTTAATCACTTCTTTTGGTAATTAGGTTTGAAAACGCCAAAAGGATTTGAAGGTGTTCCATTTGCAATAATTATGATCTTAACGATAGTAATTACTTTCTGAACGCATTTATTCCTTTGAGAAGAATAACCAGAGAAATCCAAATGAACGTTCTTTCATCTATGATAGCATAGACTCTATTTTGTGGACATGGTCATTTTGAAAGTTTGGTGATATCTTTGTGAAGATCGCCGAATTCTTGAATGACTTGGAAGAGACATCCGGACATAATGATCATCATAAATTTTCTTGGCACTTGTCGATGAAATGAAATCAAATTGAAAGGTGAAGTGATTCAACGTCTTTCTAAAAAGAAATATGAAGCTTTCTTAAGAATGAAGAGATAAAAGATCATCAACAGAAAATTTTTTTTATTGGTCGAGCAACAGAAGCTTTGCGTTTGATTGCAATTAAATCGTTCTTAGCTCGAAATCAAAATCTCTAAACTGCTTTATTTGTTAAATGAAAGATAAGCATCAAATTTTCAAAAGAGAAGCAAGATTGGTTGATCATATCAGTATTTGCAGACCGTTGCTACATACTTTATTAACAGTCCGAAAGTAGCGTGGCACTATTGATCACGAGTCAAACTCTATTTCTCAATGATGCTCGAGCCTTTGGTTTACTTATCAATAAATAACTAAACCAATAACTCTTCGTTTTAAATACCCAAAAAATTAATGCTTTTTGAGTTGATCGCGATAATACGGACACATTAAGGAAGAGAAAGCTGTGTCAAATAGAATTTTCTAATGCGAATACATTTTGTTGTGACGGCAATAACAACAATTGAAAAAAAAAAAGAGTATAAGCTTTTCAGAGATAGTAGAATCAAAGACCGATATAGTGAGCGAAGTCAAAAAGCCAAATTTCTAGGGTTAGCTTGTTCGTTTTAAAGATCATAAATTTATTTTGTATAGTAATCAAACGAATTGTTGCATCCATGCCTTTTTAGACAAACACATTTATAATGAACCTTTCAAGTATCTTAAAAGATCTTATTCTAATGATGATGGTATAAGTTGACATTAGATAATCCATTTTCTCTACTATGAATACATGCTACTTATCACCGCATCCGAGGCCATGTAAAATAACAATTATCAAATCATGCAATATTTAGTTAGTAAACGTCAACAGGCAATGTGTGAAATGAAAGTCGATATTGTCGATACTTTTCCAAAAGAAATTTGTAGTTGGTTTATAGATGTACTATTAGTAAAGCAACAATTGCTTCCAAATTTCATTTAATTAATCAGAAAAGGGCGCATTTGAGAGTATTGTGACTTCATTATACAGACCACTTATTTCGGAACGCCCGCCAACTTATTCTCGACGACTTGTGAATACAGTATACCGTATGCTAGAATTTTATTTGCCAATGACAAATTAGTCGATTATTCGAAGGTAATATTAGGATGCGAAAATACACTGTTGATAGAATTGTTCCTTTGTTTAAATAAAACTATTGAATCCGTACACATTTGATTGGATAGAAGTTCAAGCCAACTACAAATTGTTGTTTCCAAAATTCTATCTAACACTAAACAAAGTAGATGGGATTGGTTCCAACGCTTCTAGCAATAAAGGAAATCATATCTATCGAAGTGACCAGAGAACCTGAAATGCTGTCTTAAAGCACGTCAGGGAAGGTACCGAAAAACTTGCAAAAGAGAGTATGTTTGGTTTAATCTCTTTGCTTAGAGACTTTTTAGATAAGAACGCAGAAAGTGCAAAGAATATTTGTACATTCATGATTCAGTGTATTTGTAGCGTAATTATTTGATGCTTCACTAGTTCTTTTGAATAGTATGAATCTTATCATTTACTTTGGGTGATCGAATCACACCAAGTAAACTTTGTTTTGATAAGTGACATTATTATATGATTTGCAAATCAAGTTTGCCATGCTACCATTCTTTTGAAAATTTATGAAAGTGTTTGAATTGTCATATGCTTTAGTGGTGCGTGTTTATTATGTATACTTATAGATCTTATAAATATTCGATCTAACTTTTCTTTCATTTATGATGGACTTAGTAATCAATCAACTGAATTAAAGAAGTTGATGCTTATGGATTCTTATAGTACAAATGAGTAGCACAGCATTAAGGTAGTTGCAAAATAATTTTGTATACAGTATACAGAAGTTTTAATCATAATGATAAAGCTTTGGCTGCATACATACAGTAAGTGATTATTCGTTAATAATAAAGATTTTTCTTTTTGTATTGTTTATTTATTTAAAGTAGAAAATGGTGTAAATTTATGTTAAATATGAAAATGGGTTATAAAAAAGAATCTTATGAAAAAAGAATATTATACTATAATAAAGTTTCAAAAAAAAGAAATGTTTGGTACTAAAATTATTCAAATAATTGGATAATTAGCAACAGCAATTTTTGTAGATGAAAATCAGTCAATTGTATTAATTACTTCAAAAAAAAAATAATGAATTCAAATTGATTATCAATAAATATCTCAAATATCAAATTTTATATAAAATTAAAACAAATTCATTATAGACAAAATAATATTACAGTATATCTTTTTATTGTTTAAATTTTATACAGAATTCAAACTTTAATATTTATATATATTTAAAAAAAATTTTAAAAAAATAAGATAAATTTTATATTATATATAAAAAATCTATAATAAATAAAATTAATTATATAAATAAATTAATTAAAATAAATAAAAAAATATAAGAATTGAATTAAAGAAAATTGAAAACAAATTTTATAAACAAATAAATCTTCTATAAGTATTAATTCCAATAAAAAAATTCAAATTAATATTATTAAAACAAATTTTATAATTCAAGTTATATATAAGTAATTATTAAAGTAATTATAAATCAATTATAATTTAAAAATATATAAATAAATATAATATGATTTATATATTATCTTATACAAATAAATAAAAATATAAAGATTTTATTTTAATGCTATTTATCTAATATATAGATTTTTTAATAAAAAAATATTACAAAAGAATAAAATAGTAATTCATAAATAAAAGTTTGTAAAAATTTTAATTTTAAATTTTAAATTATATTTATAAAATAGTTATATAATAATTAAATTTTAGTTCAATCAAAAATACATAAAAAAAAATAATTTTTAAAACTATTACTATAAAATATAAAAATTAAAATATTCTAAATAATAAAATACTTGACAATAAATTTATATATGATTTTTGAATCCTTAATATTAAAATTACTATATCATTTATATGATTTAATTATTTTATTACAAAAAAGTAAATTTATTAAGCTATTATTATATAATATTAAATATTTTAATCTAATATCAAGATATAATTATAGAAAATAATAATATTGTTTTTTTTAAGATCATATATTAAAATCTTACTTTAGAAAAATTAAAACCAACCTATATTTAAACCATTATCTTAATGTAATCTTGTAATTCTAATAAATAGATAAATAAATAAATATTATTATAATAATTATAATAATAATTATAATAAAAGTTTAGACTAATAAAAAAAAAAAACTCTTTCCCACTTCCTCTTCTATACTTAAAAATTTCCTTTTTAGGAAACTTTTTAAGTTGTTTATTTTTTCTTTACTTCCTTCTTTCCCCTTTCCTTTTCTTGATTGCAAATCTTTTATTTTCCTTTCCTTCTTTTCTTTTTCCTTTTCTGTTCCTTCCTTTTATATTTTTCCCTTTTCCTTCTCCCTTTCTCCTTCCTTCTTGCCAAAGTTAGGTTTTTCCTTTACTCTAAAGTTTTTCCTCTCTAGACTTCTTCTTCTTTCTAAAAATACTATGCTCCATCTTATCACTCCTTTAACCAGTCGACTCTATTTTCTCAAGAATCATATAAAAAGTGACAATCTTTTTTAAGAAGTGGGTTTTGAAAAATTTTTCTCTTCCATGATTTTTTAGAAAAAAAACAGATGGTTTACCTTTCAAAAGATCGGCATAACTATTATTACCAAATTTGATGTTGTTTACTTGTTGATGGCTAGACTAGATATATCTAAAAAACTGGTATATACTATTATTGGCTGAATCTCTAGGTGCTGTGCCTTATGGAAATCTAGTAGGACAATATGTAAAAACTAGGGATTCTAGTTACTCCCATAAATAGAGCTGGTGATGTCAATCACTCACTCCTTGACAATATAGGTTTCTTTTGCAAGGTTAGGTAACAATACCTATAAGAAAATCCAATTCAACTCTATTCATTAAACACTTTCACTATACTTGAACAATGGATATGTCAAATCTTTTTTGTGACTTGGAGGTCAACTTGCATAAAGTGGCTGCAATGTCTTCATGTATTAAGGTAGTAACAAATCAAATTCTGGCAGTAATGCCATCACTGACTCTTCTTGCCATATATCAAGTCATATTTGAAAAGCAAGAGTGTTAATTCTACTCATGACTTGAAGGCCAACCTGTGAAATTATGGCTAAAGATGGGTCCCTAAATTATTTGTGAGGATATAATTCAAATGTCCCTTATTATTAAAAATTTTTATTTCTATATTAAGAAATAAAAAAAAACTACCTACAAAGGTTTTTTATAGTTTTAAGCATCTATACAAATCATTTTTGGAATTATGTCCCTATTGAAATAAAGAGCTAGAAATTATGTCCTCTAGGGGATGTGGACGTAAAGAGACGTAAATTTTATATGCTAAATACTTTAGGGACCCATCTTTAATTATGGCTGCAGTGTCTTCATGTGTTTAGGTAATCAAACTACCTCTAGAAAACTAGACACCACCTAAGACATTTATATAGGTTTTGAATTTTATTTTACTATATGTTTTGGAGATATCCAGAGCATAAATGAAGGGTTATTTTTGTGCTTGGCATTTAACTCTATTAAGTTTAAAGAGACATATATCACTTTCGTAAATTGTAATCTTGTTTCAAATCTAAAATTATAATAAAAAAACCAAGTAATCATTATTTTGCTTTTTTTTTAAAAAAAAAAAAGTTTAAACTAATAGATAAAAACTTTTCTATATTTATTTTTTAATTTGACCACCTGCAATTAAAAGATCCATTTAATTTTCACTATTCTATTGTTAATCAAAAATATTTAAGAATACTTTCTGAAAAATATTTCTTGAAACTTTATACTTAGACTTTCAACTAAAAAAGATATTGATTTTCTATTGTTAATTTTTTTTTCAAGCTATTTTTCTTTAGAATTATAACTTATATTTATCTAATAAATTTACAGTATATGTCAAGATAATTCAATGGATTTTTTAATTGATAAAATATAATAAAAATATATACAGTATATTGCAAAAAAATATATTTTTGAATTTTTGGATTTAAAACTTATAATACAGTATTTTATAAAATATCTTTAAAATAAATAATATCCTAATTGTAGTACCAGAAAATTTCCGGTCCGCCTTCGATTTTTTTTATCTTAGTATTTTCTGTGACAAAAAAAAAATTCTCTGATTTGGATTATAAAAACAAGACAACAACAGTGATTTTCAATAAAATCAATGGTTTTTTTTTAATAATGTTCAAATTACTAGGGACACAGGAACCGTTGTTAAGCCCGGAGCTCCATTCGATAAAGCATGGCATGTAATATAACATGTTCGATCCATAAACGAACTATAATATCTGACGGACAGACTAGAAACAAAGAATTATGTATTGGTTACGTTCCCCCGTTGGACTGTGAATGTAAATTTTGTATGCCAAATATTTCTGTACCTCCTATCTTGCAAAGTATTTATGCACAGTACATAATAAATGAAAAAAAAAAACTAATTTAATTGCAAATATACAGTATACAGATGCGCATATTATTATACTGCATGTACTGTATATCATATTGCATAATTAGTTACTATATATATAACTCGACAATTGTATATACATGTGCCTACTTTTTAAATACAAATGGATCGACCCTGGATTAGATTATGACACCGAATTAAGCTGAACCCAATAAGTCTTTTACCATGCATGTCGTATTCCATATACTGTAGGCCCAAGTCCCAAAGTTAGGCTAAAACCTAACCCTTCCAATCCATCTCCACCTTGCACGAATCACATTTAAACGTTTTTGATCCACCGAATTATTTTTTGCGAATCCACAATTCTCCATGTCTTTGGTGTATACTCTTCGGTGTATTCAATGACCTTGCAACCTCTGTACTCTCTCAACTTATTATGTACAGTAAGAAACATCCGAATCCTGAAATGTGACAAAGTTAGCATTGCACAAGCAGTCTTTGATCGCTTGTTCTTCAAAATCATCCTCGATCTCGAATTTGGGTAAAAGAATGATCTCGTGATTTTGACATAAACAACAGACCAGCTGATGGTGGCACCCATCGATTAAATTAAATTACAGATTCGTTGTATGATTCATAGCATCTTTTTTCTCAATCGGAATCTTTGTCTTGTTTGTTCTTTTCAAAGAAAGATTTTTGTCGCCCTGTGAGTTGTCATATCTCTATGATGATTTAAATATTTTATTAAAATCACCATTGCCCTACTCGATTAATTGACCGTCAGGGTCATAAACGTGCGAACACCAGGATCGAGCGAGATTATCTTTCCCCGAACCCTCTAATTCATAGTTATGTTAACCGTATTATTGATATCTGGTGAGCGTTCTGGAGTGATAATATTTTTTAGGAACGTGTATTTCCCTTTGTTCCTATTCCACTATTCCAATTCTAGCAGGTGTCGAGATGGTTCGTTCGATCCTTCTTTAATGCAAATTATTTCCATGCAACTTCTTGTTTGTTTTGTATGCACCATCAATTGTCGAATTGTGTACGAATGTACTTCCCTAGGGGTCTCTTTTGTGAAGCACTCATCGTTCAGGTAGTGCTTTCGTATGACACTCATGTCATCGTCCTGCACCATCTTAAGAACCTTGTTATACGTCCATCTCATAGTTCCCATCCTTTGTCGTTTTCTGTTTCCAACTGATCTGACCCATGTGTTTTGCCATGAAGATAATAGCGATTGATAATAAGTTCTCGGCAAGTTCACTGAATTCGGTGTCATCGACTTTGACGTCCAAACTGCTTACCACGATCTTTGATCTTTTGTACTGTTCTTGCCAAGAATCCATTCGACAAGCTCGTACGCAAATCTGCGGAGCCGATCCTTCCAGGTAATCACAACCTCCAGTTAAGAACTGACCCAATGTTTCTGATGAGTTCGTGGTCTGACTACTTCTGTTTGAGTACTCGCATTGCCTGTCAAGGTCCTCTGTCTGTTTACCAGAGCTAACCCTTGCGTAATGGATCTTTTTCTTTTCATTTATCCTTTCCTGATAAAATTTGATCTCTTGTGCTTCACGATACTTTATTTTTGATATTATCTTGCTCAAACATACAAAAAAACGGGACTTATTTATACTTTATAAAGCGTAATGATGATAACTCATACGAAAAGACGGGACTTATTTATACTTTATAAATTGTAATGATGATAACAAACATTCGTACCATCAATAATTAGTTAGTATAAAATTATTAAAAATAACGATATCAGTAAAATTAATATCAAAATAATAGATTTAATTAATAATATTGTATTGTATTGTTTACACCCCGTCCACTGTATAATGTCGATTTTTGCACATAAATGAAATTTAATACAACTTGTAAATCTGTGCAGCACTTATGAAATGTTCGTCCTACATTCGGTTAAATCAATCAGGAAATGAAATAAATTGCCAAGTCGATAGGTGGATTATCATTTTTTAAGCGCGTATCGGTATATCATCGTTAAAATTTTCCCGAAATGAAACAATTGTGAGACACACAAACACCTGTAAAAATGTCGACTCAATATAAATAATGGTACAACTAACGTGATATTATGGAATACATATATTTGTTCTCATCTACAAGGTTAGACGTTACAAAATAAATAATGATAAACCTCCGCAGAAAAAACTTTAAGCAATGACAATTTTCTAAGAATCTTTTAAAAGTATAATGGTATACGATAACACGATATAGGAATTTCTATTTATACACGCAACAAAATTTGTTGCTAATTCGTAAAAATGTTAAGGGTCAAGAAAAAAATACAAGTGCAAAAAAAGTAATGATTATGCAAAATATGTATAAAGATTGTAGAAGAAATTCGAAAAATTGTTTGTATAACCCCAAAGAATGTCCGATTCATGGAACTTAAATAAAGTTGTGTCGTCGGTAGACATTCGATAATTCAATAAATAAAATAAACATACTCTATTATAATTTACAGCTTCGCCAATTAATGTAGCACGGATAACTTGCGCCAGTCAGAACAATGGTTTTCGTCAATCATGGATATTCCTCTTCTCATGAACATTTTTTGTATGTCTACTTGTTTTTTTTTATACATGATTAGTGTATTAAAATGAATTGTCATTTTTACTCCGCGTAAATTAATAATTTTGGACAAGTAGCTATTGCGTAACTTAAGTCGTTATCATCGTTGAGTGCAAGGAGCTCCATGGTATTGTCATCCCGATACTTCAGATTCGTCACATGCCCTCCGAGGCGTTCGTATAATTTTTCTCGAAGCTGTGCGTAGGAAATGTTTGAGGCAATACGGATAGCAATAAGGTCGTCTTTGTAAAAGATCTTGACCTTTATGCTACTCGGAATGGTGGACGAGGTGTTAGGTGCGTTCATCGGCGAGGTGACACTGGAATGACCGGAGGATTCGTCGTGAACGTGAGACGACTTGTAAGATTGTCCCGATAAAGAGGGATTATTGCTGTGCTTATACGTTCCACTCAGTGATGACTGCTGCTTCATGTGTTGAGGTTGAAATGACATTGTTGAATTAAACGATGGATCAACCGGAGATCCATCTAAAATCGGCGAGACTCCAGGCTGTCTGGGATCCGTGGGCGTTTCGACATCACCTTCTTTCATTCCAAACAGTTGATTTAACAAAGGATCTTCCAAAATGTAGGAAGGCAGATTCAACAATTCTTTGACATAAACATCCAAGTCGGCTCTTCTCTGAGCCGTAATCATATCATTTACATAGGAAAGTGGACCTGGCATGAATGGTAAAATTCGTTGTT